TTCAGTATCATACAAGATTGAACTGTCATTCTTCAATCTACAATGTTCGCCATTGGATTCGCAATGTCCACAAGATGGTCTGGACCATTCCAATTGAAAAGAGGACAGATTGTAAAATACTTCCTCAGGTATGGATTGAACGTCAAACATCTTGCTGCAGGATTGTATGGGCAATTCATATAAGAAATCATCGGACCAAACTCTACAAACGTCATAATCCTTACTGCTGAGGCAGGGTACGGGGATCATATAATCAAGATTATCTCGCTTGATTTTGGAACAGTTGAATAAAGTGAAGTTATAACTAGAATCATCTAGGAATTGGAATGGAGATGCGGATAAATTTAGAATTGGAAGCAATCCTGGAAAGCAGCCAGAGACTTGAGATATCTCGATAAACTGATTTTCATAATCGATTTCTTTAATGGAAAACTGAACCGAAAATGGAAGGTTAGAGTCCTTGATTGATGCCTTCGCCAGTAAAGGAAATTCCAATACCGTGTCATTGTTTTGAGTGCAGTGAAGTTCAAAGCCAGGGTAGCCACTGTGCTGTTGGTGGCGGTCTTTAAGGCTGAAGGGGAACCGGATGGCAGGGCCATACTGCGTGCAGTTTTCGACTTGGCATTCATTTTGAGCAATTGATCCAAGTACTGCAAAGAGTGATAGAAAGATGAGGTAAATGAGTTGAGGTGCCATGTTGAGGAAGAACACTTGATACTGCTTATGAATTTCTGGGCCTTTTGTTTTCGTTCACATTTCCCAGTAGTATTAATAATTTTTCAAGAAGAAAAAAAGCAATCAAATCATAGACTATTAAGCAAATTTATGAGTTGACTTGTATTTCTATTGGTCTCCGTCCACTGGAGATATGGAATGGATTTTACTCCGTGTTTTCATTTACCTGATATGCATTTTCATCCCCTCGATTTGCTTAGCTAGTCATTTAGCTCTACTAACCTTCATCTTCTACAACATCATACCTTCAAGTGGTATAGAAAGAGTTGCACTATGTGATTTTAATAATCATTCTTTCAAAAAAAAATTTATCTTATACTCATTTTCTACCACATATTCTTACAATAAAATATTCTTCATGTAAACTCAAAACTTTTTCCTATATTTTAATTACATGCTCTCCAAAAAATTCTACTCTAAAACTCATTCTTCCCAAAAGATGACTGTCAAACAAAGCCTAAGTGACATATTTTGTGCTCACAAATACAATCTTTTTAATAATTAAATCTAAGTAGTCATCTGCACTTCAAATAATTGTTTAAATCCGATTGTGTCATATCTATTGAGTTTCATAGTGTCACACAAACATTACGCCACATTATATATATCAAAATCAAGAAAATTCGAGTTCTACTTTGAGTGTGAAAATTTGTCCAGCACGACTTAGAGCGTGTTCGGTTAAGCCTAGAAAAGCAATAAAGTAAATTTTAAGGTATTTTTGTACAACTACTTTTAAAGTAAAAGAAAGTTAATTTTTTAAAATAGTCATTTTTTAGTGTCAACATAAGACACATTTCCAAATTTTGAATAATTAGAGTTACTGAACTTTTTAAGCTTGGATACATGCTGTTAAAATAATGTCAAAGCACAACTTGTGTTGTTACCATTTTTTTATCTAAATAATTTTTTAATATAATTAATTTGGACATATCCAACGAAATCTTTGATAATTAATAGCAACCCCATGTAGGTTTGGCTGTGCATGAACAAAATTATATAAGTCCATTAATTTTTCTTTGGGCCACTAAGATTTCGTATACAAAGGTTTAAAGACTTTTTGAGTCAACAAAAGTTATTTCAGAATGAATGAAATTATTTTGTATTGATAAGTTTGACACTAGAAACAATTGCACCATTAGCCACCAACTTATTACCATTATATCAAAGTGATCCCTAGTTAAACTTTTGTAGCACTATTGGCCCAGCTGATTTCTGACTGTTATACCGTTAAAAATTGGTAAGAGTAAAAATCCCTCCCCGTCCATCCAACCAAGATGGTGGATCAAAATTTGAGCAAGAAGGTGTAGTTGGGCTCAAAATGACTTAAATGCTGCCGATCTTGCTATATATGTGGTCAAGTAGTGGTGAATTCAACATCTGTATTGCGTCGATAGAATAGGAGGCCCTCTTGTCAACGACTTCAAGTTACGAGTTTAGTTTGAGGACAAGAGACTACGCTACTGATGCATTAAGATCACGTGGAGATGAATAAATATGAACATTCTAGTAAGATCATGGTCTAATAATTTTTCATTCTACATTGAGCATTGACTTGCATTTGAATGACAATTAAGACTATAGTTTGTGCGATGAATGTTGATATAATCTGGTTTAAGAGACTACATTAATTGTATCTCTTTGTTTTTAAATTTCATTTCATTTTTCGTTTTCTGATGAGATAAGCTTTTATTTATTTGAAATTTAGCATAACCCCTGTTAGTCTATATATATATATATATACATATTTTTTTTTTCTTTTATAGAGAAAAGAGCGTCCATGACTACCACTTATGAAATTCTGAAACCTTTGTTTTGTTTTACATTTTTCTGTATTAGTAATTTTTCAGGAATAAAAAACAATCCAATCATAGACTAACGAGCCAGTGTACAGTTGACTTGACTCGTATCTTTTTTGGTTTCCGTCCATTGGAGTGTATTTTCCATTTACATGATATGCATTTTCATCCCCCTTTCTTTGTTCCTCCACGCCAAATAATTCATACTTGCTTCTTATCAATTTATAGAACACAAACCCTGTGGAAATTAAAATCAGCGTCGTTGAGAGCATCTCTATCAATGAGAAACATCAGGCTACTCTTTGCAATTTCTATGGTCTTTGTAATTCTTTTACACTGTGCTACTTATTGCGAAGCCGACTGTCCCCCTTCTTCTTGCAGCAGTATCACAAACATTAGCAACCCGTTTCGACTTAGAGGCGACCCCGAAAATTGTGGCAATTCGAGCTACGAACTTGCTTGTGAGAACGATCGCACTATTCTCTATCTAAGCTTCGGCAGATTCTTCGTGCAATCAATTTCTTACAATAACTTCTCGATTCGATTACTTGATCCTGGTATGGAGAAAAACAGTTGCGATTCATTTCCAAAAAACAGAGTGCCATTGAGTCACGATTACAGATTTACACCATACGACTTGGTATCTGATGATCTTACAGAATTGAATACTATGATAGTATATATCCAGTGCGAAGCTCCTGCAGAGTCTCCTTTTTATGTTGATACATGCATTTGCAGTAAAAATATTTCTCTGCAGAAATATTCCTATTTTGTATTCGGAAACGACGTCCGTGTTGCAGATTTAGATGATTCCTGCAGGATTGAGTGGATGGCGTGGATTTCAAATGAATTTCACATAGGAGTTAATAATGCCTCCTGTTCAGACATTCAAGATGGGCTAGCTTACGGATTTGACCGTACGTGGTACGGAGTCTATTGCAGCGAATGTCGAGCAAAAAATGGACATTGTTATATTGAAAACGGTACCATCGGATGCTTTTATCGCTCCTGCCGATATTGGGACCCCTATGAGTTCCATATACCATCGCACAATTGTATGTGGATTACTAATCTAGCTAGTTTCTTACTTATTTTTGCTGTGTAACAAAATAACCATATAGAGATGCTTATTTTTCTATTTATCAAGTATATACTTAAACAGTGAAAATAATTGATTCCCACTTCCTAGAGACAGAATAAACTATATTGATAAAAAAAAATTGTTTACAATATCTGACTTTTTGTTTTTTTGACCTTGCTTTTATTTTAATTTTGCAGGTTCATCTCATTTGTGGTTGCAGTTCTGGGCCGGTGAGTGTTCTGTTATCTAGAATAGGCTATTCAACATGATATCACAAAAAGCAAAAAAATCATGAGTAAATTTTTATATCTTTTTCTTTTGCTTATTTGAACTGAAGGCAAATTTTGGTATTAAATGAACTATTGACAGTTCCATCCAAAAAGACAGCAAGCCCGTCAAGAGTTGACGGTTGGCATTTTTGAGAAAAATGTTATTATTATGTCCCAATTAGTTGTCATACCTTTTTTTCGTTAACATTTTAGTGTTAAGAGTACTTTTTTCCCTTTGTGTTAAGTATATATTCATAAGAATATTTGATTCTGAGTTTCGTTTTGCTGATCCTGTTTTTGTTTTGAGTTTGCAGACATACAATACATCTGGATAGGTCCGTGTTCTCTTTCTTTTCCCTGGCTAGCTTCATATATAAGCGGCATTTTCTTGAAACACCTAACATCTTGTCTCTCAACTGTTTCTTCTTTTGTTGATTTGAACAGCGTATCATACGGAGCTGGAATATATCCTAGGTAAGATATGAAATCTTCGATCTTACTGGAAACTTGTTCTATATATTTTATGTAGTAAGCTAGGACCCTTTACCAATATGGATTCTGGAAAACTATTTTTTGACTCAATTAACTAGGGATGACAAATTGAGGGAATATTTGTAGTGTGGCAATGTTGCTGAATTATCTCATTCTACAAACTAGAACCTTTTTAGTCAAAATACCCTTGTTTGGAAAAAAAAGTTTTCATGTCGTGTTTTTAATCTTGCTTTTCCTCTTCAGGATTTCTTGCAGCAAGATTTCCTTGTGGGATTCTCTTCCTGTTCACATTGTTGGCATATAAAATTCGAAGGCGGCACCTCTCAATGTATGACGACATTGAAGAATTCCTACAAATCCAGAACAACTTCATGCCAATAAGATATTCGTACAGAGATTTGAAGAATATGACTAAGAATTTTAAGGACAAGTTGGGAGAAGGTGGCTACGGCACTGTATTTAAAGGTCAGCTTAGAAGTGGCCCTTTTGTTGCAATAAAATTGATGGGAAAAACCAAAGCTAGCGGACAGGAATTCATCAGTGAAGTGGCTACCATTGGGAGAATTCACCATGTTAACGTTGTTCGACTCATTGGCTTCTGTGTTGAAGGTTCAAAACGTGCTTTGATATATGAGTTTATGCCAAATGGTTCGCTTGAAAAGTACATTTTCCCTCGAGAAGTTCCAGTTTTCTTGAGCTATGGTAAAATCTTCGAGATTGCTCTTGGGGTGGCCAAAGGGATTGATTATTTGCATCGAGGTTGTGACATGCAAATTCTACATTTTGATATAAAGCCTCACAACATTCTTCTAAACCTTAATTTCATTCCTAAAATTTCCGACTTTGGGTTAGCAAAATTGTATCCAGCGGATGAAAATATGGTGTCTCTAACTGCTGCAAGAGGTACAATGGGATACATGGCTCCAGAAATGTTCTACAGAAATATCGGAAGAGTTTCATACAAATCAGATGTTTATAGTTTTGGAATGTTGTTGATGGAAATGGCAAGTAAAAGAAGAAATTTGAATCCGGCTGCAGAAAATATAAGCCAAATTTATTTCCCTTGTTGGATTCATGACACATTCAGCAAAGGAATGGAAATTGATTTGGGGGATGCTTCTCTGGATGAAAGAATAATGGTGAAGAAAATGACAATTGTAGCCTTGTGGTGCATACAGATGAAACCTGACGATCGTCCTTCCATGAATAATGTTATAGAGATGCTTGAAGGAGATGTCGAGTTGTTGCAATTGCCTCCAAAGCCATTCCTCTCTCCAGAAGAAATGCCGGACAGTGATATAGACATAAATGACATGGAGTTTCCACTGTTGTCTGCTAGTTTTGATTAGCAAACGAAGTCTGCGTGCTCATTGAAATTTAGGATGATATGATAATTATTATGACTTGTATCAAAGTTCAATTGCATCGAATAATTATGGATTACTAAGTTTTTATTGATCAATCTATTAGTTGAATTGATAAATCTGTATATGTAATGCAGAATTAAGATCGCATTCATATTTGATAACACTT